TCCGTCATATGTTCCTCGGGTACGTACCACTGTGTACTGTTTCAAATCATACGTGCATATTTTTTAAGTCATACTCATGTCTTTTTCGTTGAATTCCGATGATCTGAGTTTTTGTTTTCGAAGTCAAATAAAGGTAACCAGACTATAATATGTATAATAAATCGCAAATCGTAAAACAGATGTTTAAAGCAAATGATCGATGCAACTATATGTCAAGTTTGAATCCCAGCAGGTACGAGTTCTATCCACGTCATTTAGGGATGACGGCATGACCACGTAGCTTTTGAAAGTCCGTTTTAGGGCTTCTTCTTTCCGACTTAATAAAAGGGGATACTTCGTTTCTGTGTCATTACAGACCTGTTCTCGACTAGATCTAGTTAATTTTCTTGTTTTCACAATGTTTATATCAAAGCTGTTGTAGGAAATTATTCCTTTCCCATGTCATACTGTATCATTCAAACCAAGCAAATATACCCTACGAAGGAGCAGTTGTCTCCTAACAGAAAAACACGTCTGTTTTAGTGGCAACAGTGCAATTTATTTATTATGTTTGCATTTCCATTTTTTCAAATTACGGTTAATCTTTCATCTCATAAAATGTTAGCTGGAATTCTACGGTAGATTTCCCATTCGAAACGACTGAAAAAGTAATTAAATTAGTAATTGAAATAGTCCTGAAGCATTTCAGTCACGCTGGGATGCTGGCTCTTGTATGAAACTTTTTTCTACCATTCGTAAAACCACTTACTTCGTAAAAGTAATTACTTAGGTAATGTCAGGGTTCGCCATGAATTCTCTCTGCACATATAAAGTAAAATGTACTATATGGCAAAAATGAGAAATATAGTCTTTTTTGCATTTATTTGGCAAAAAATTAGGACTGTAAATTTTCGAATTAAAGAAAGAGGGCCTTTGATTTTTAAAAGCGCTTTAAATTCCTGAATAACATTTTGCCCCACTTGACGTAATATTTGCGTTCGGGCGTTTCAGTCTTCATATTGTAGGCGTTTCGCAAAATGAATATTAAACATTTATTTACGCCTTGAACAAAATATTGGACAGGACTTAGACTTGGGCAATCGATGTTGAGCAGGTCGCATACGTAACAAGTAAAATTAGTAATTGTGTTTACGTAAAACTATATGAATTGAGACTTCGTGGTCTTTGAGATATTCCTAATTGGACGGCTTGCAGTTGATAAGCCGTCGCAAAATTTGTTTGTTCCGTTAAATTCTGCTGTTTGTGCTTGTTTCGGACTTTATTTTCAAGTGGAAAATTTAAAGACATTATCTGCTACTCAAAGAATATACGAAAGAGTTTATTGTTCACGTTTACTTATAAGGACGCCTAAAATCAGTGGGAAAATATTTGCTTCTTATGTGCTAATTTTTACAAAGTGTAGTTTTTGCAGACTGCCGTAAAGAAGCCCAGTTTAATATTACAACCATGCTTAAGTAATATTTTTGAATCGAAGGCATATTTCAGAATGTCGGTCAACATTTCATGAGACAGCAGTCCAAAGCTTGTTTCTTTCTTCCCCCCCCCCCCAGGTGGCCTCAGCAATTGATATGAGCAACTTTGACCATTATGCCGCTGATAGTGATTCGCCGCCTGACGATGTCAGTGGCTGGGACAAGGACTTTTAGAAATATTTGGGCATCCTCCGTCCACTTTTGTATCTGACTCAGAAACCAATGCTTCCAGGAAACCAGGAGCTACATTATAAACCTACTTTGGCTGTGACAAATCGCGTAAATCTCTCCAATTTTATGAGAGGATGAACTCTATTCTTCCAACCTGTACAACCCTCTTTCACTGAACTAGATGCAGACAACTGCACCTGAAGCGTGCGTACTAGTTTAAAAAAATTGAATAAAAATATTATTATGTTTTCATGAAACTTCCTGCTGGGCACATAGTTTATGGGTATTTCTCAGACTTGTGGGAACCTTGACCATAATTTTAAGAAACTGAATGGAAATGTTAATCCGCCCTAGTAAAAGTCACACTTTTAGACGTTTTTGTGAGCTTTCTATAGGCTTGTGCAAGTCTTTTACCTATCCCAGTATTCACTTTCAACCTGAGAACGTCAGTGTCGAACAGTAGAACATTCTTACACATGGCAATGGGTTAGGATTTTCCCAAAAAGACTGTCAAAAAATACACCTCCATATTGGCCTAAAGATTTTAAATCAGGTCCTGGAACATGCATGCCCTAACGG